GTTTTGGATGTATTGGGCGCATATAAAAGTAAGAGGGGCCCGCAAAGTCCTTTTCTTTATTGTGGAGCTTGTGTGGCCCTATTGGTAAAGGAGAATTTTGTAAGGATCTTTTTAAGAATAAGTTTTCTTTGGTGGGCTTATTTGTAATATGCCCCAGTTTTTTTTTTTCATTTTTTTTTTGTGTGAGCCTTCTGGGACAATGATAAACACTGGGTGGGTCTTCTGCTGCCGCGTGTCTTTTTATGTATTTTATTATATACTCTCATACTACGAGTACACTGGTTGGAGTTTTGGAAAAATGCATAAAAATGTTCTCGTGGCAGCAGAAGATCCACCCAGTGTTCATCACTAGGTGTAGGTTCGAAGTGGTGGGGTTTGAATTTTCGACGATTTGGTTTCTAATTTAAAAAAAAAATATGGATTGATTTTTTTCAGATGCGTTCTTAGAAAATTGAAATTTCCACTTAACATTAATTGATCTGTTTTCGAGGCGTTCGATTTTGCTCAATATTCTCATAATTGGACATGGTTGGACCGGTTCAGACCGAACTTATTATTTTATGTCAATTAAGTTTATATATTTTTTTGCCCAGTGTATTTGGAATATTTATATTTGTATGAATAATAATTTAAATATCACTAATAAAAATTCTATTGTAATAATGTAACATATTTTCTTATTGTAATTATTATTGTCATGTATTTAATAATTATTATTTTTAACTTTTGAAATAATATCCTGCACGGAGGAAATACTACTTATATAAATTTTATTTAACATTCATCATATAAATATGCAATAATATCAATATGTACTTTTTGAAAATGAAATCAAGAAATATTCATTATAAAAAATCAGATCAAAAATCGAAATTTCTAATTATTTTATATTTACGTATTTTGCATTCGGATCTGAAATTTTTGAAAGAAAAGCAAAACAATATGGAATTTCAAAAAATTATCCAAAACAAAAATGGACAAAGGACGAAATTAATTTAGAATTTGTTCTTCAATTTCCTATGCAAATGATTACTCTTTGCCCTTCCCCAAACGAGAGAAATGCTATGATGATAAATCGTCACCCCATTTGGCCCTCTATGAGTTCTAACTACTAATAATTCATATTCAGCCTTTATTAGCATATGCTCATGTCATGCCCATATTGCATAAGCGCTATGCCCTTCATCACATCATATATATATATATATATATGTGTGTGTGTTTGTGTGTTTATGTTAGAGATTATCCCCTCACAATCGGTGGCGAATTCAGGATTTGTACAAAAAGTGTTTGTAAGCGAGTAGAAGAATAAATATGACACTTAATATACATGATGGACTAAAAATTTACGACGCCGATTTGGGTCAGCGCTTTGATTGCAAATCTAGAATTTGTGCCAATAGTGTTCGAAATCGAATATAATAAAAAGTGTAAATAAAACTCAATATACATGATGGACTAAACGTTTAAGAGGATTTGGGGCAGCGCATCGAT